CGGCAAATTTGTTTAAATTACATATTTTATCAACAAATTAATTCTTTGCATCAAGTATTAAATCTTGATCTACAAAGATACGTATAAATTAAATGATCAAAAAATATTAAATGATTATTACACAATGATGTAATCATATGCTCCTTTTGATGGCTTTCGGTGCAATTGACACTTTGATAGGTTTACACAAATCAATCACGCATGGATCATCTAAAGGTGGATGTGTGCAAATCGATGATGAAGGTAACAGCAATGCTAAAGAAATTTCTACATTACAAGGCTCCATCCACACTTGATGCGATAATAGAACTGTCGTCCTCAATCTGTAATCTTTCTGATCGGACTATTGCATACGCAGATCTGTCGCGGTAACAGTAATTGCATTTGTTGATCCGGATGTCTCAGCTTTATTCGCAGAGTAGAGGAATCACGTAGATTCAATATCTTGGCGTTTAAAGAAATTCCCAGCAAAAGACCATCCGTGAATTTTAGTGCAGCATCGGCATCGCCTCTCGGTTCCTCGATGTGTGCTCGACAAAAGCGCGTCGTCGCTGATGGTCTCGGTAATCGCTCTTCCCCCTGTACTACAGGCGTCAAAAGCAATGGCAACAAAAGCCGCATTAAGGAACCCGGTTTCATGTCTGCCAAAGTGGGTATTTGTAGAACTAGAGCCCTGGAGAACGGTGGTAGCCTTGATGTATCTTGAGGTAAAGCGTCAGCTTTAGGTAGGAAATAACGGGCCAGTGGTAATGCGCTGCCGGTAGCACTTTCGGTCACCCTAACTAATTCTATAGCCAGTGCTTTCAACCACATATCGTTAGCCAATATAATATCATTTTCGTCTAATCCATTAAACAAACGTTATAATCTAAAAAATGGTAAGTATAATTTTATTTATTTTTTCTTATATAATCTTTTATATATTATTAGTAAAATTGTACTATATCAAAACGATTTCTTTAATACATATTAAAGGTACATACTTTTGTATATGCTGAAGGACGAAAATGTTGTTGTTAGTATTTGGCACTGGATTCGCCGAAATAGAATGTTGTCGAAGACACAGAACATTCTTTGAGAGGACGGACTTCAATAGCAGCAGGCATCGAATATACAAGGCAAAGTGAAACGTGCCGCGCTTTCCATGTGATGATCCATCTCTGCCATACGATCAAGATCAATGGCTGCAGTTTCTAAAAGCTGCGTATGAACTCTTCCTCCTGCATTCTCGATTCCAATTCCCATCTTCTCCAAGAACTCTCGACCATGTTGATCCCTGTTCTCTTCATTATTCATATCTTCCATTTTGATTCCTGAACTAGTAAGTGCTGATCATAATCGCGTAACTAGATGAGGCATAGCGTCGCGCAAATAGTGATAGTGTTTAGAAGCATGCTCTGTAAATAGAGCGTGCATACTTGGACAGTGTAATGCTGCGTTGAAGATTAAAACAAGTACACTTGCATCTGTTATAAAAAAGTTAAGGACATTGCAACTTTAAAATTTAAGACTATTTACATAACGAGAATTGATATAAAGGATACAGGATGGTTCATCCACATCTGGCTCAGGTGTGTCGAAGAAAGGATGTCGGCCAAGAAGTTGTGGTACTAGAGGTAACGTTAAGTACGGATGTGATGCGCCTAATTCTGCTAAACAATTCCTGATACTCTCCCTGTCCTGAGGATACCGAGTTAAATTATCTAGCAAACGATTAACGCACATATAACGACAATTTGTGGTAGCGAGATGACTAGCAGCTAGCATAGCGTGCAAGCCTTCTCTCACTTCTCCTGAGAAATCTTCTAAAGCACCTAAAATTGTTTCTAATTGGTCCTCTTGAAAGGTTACACTTGATGACATTTTCTTTAAAGATTCAATAGCTCTTAATCTGACATCCTGAATCTCATCATTAAACATATCCATCATAAAGTCCAATGAAATTCTAGATATGCTCGGTTATTCTAACGAAAGTGTACAGAGTGCTTCAACTGCTGCTGTTCTTACCTAAATTTTTTTTTAAATGAAAAATTTATTTTCAATTGATATGAGAAATGAAAAAATCATAGAAAAAAAAGTTCAATTACAATTAAACTGTTTTTCAGTTTAACTACAATTACAAACTTGAAAAAAACATGAAATATAATAAACTTTTGATTCGCAGGATAATCTAATAAATATTGTAAAAAAATTCTCTATTATTTTATGTAACGCGATAAATTCATACCTCTAAAAATTCATCTTCTAAACCATGAATGAATGCTTCACAAGATCCACTTTTCTCTTCAACTTCGGGTCTGTCTGCTTCAACTACTTTTTGTTCTTTATCTAAGGCTTGTTCTATGTAGTGACGTGACACACTTTCATGGTTCTCAAAAAGGACATTGCAGAAGCTCTAACACGAGGTGATAAATCACCCATAAGACTGCAAATTTGTGAAAAAGCACAGTCTACCATTCGTACATCCTCTCCATCAGATCCAACAATATACTATAATATATAAAAGAAACACATAAAAAAAGTTCATTGTAAGATTTTATTTTTAAAATATGTTTATATTTATGTACTGATTTTTCTGGATACTCCCGGCTTAAAAGATAGATAAGTTTAAGAACAGCTCGGCGTACAATTTCATAATCATCGCGCAGGCTTCCTTGAAAAAAGTCGCAGGAAGTCTACAACCTCTATGAGAATGTAATTCTGCCATGATTTCAAAAGCTTGAGCATGAATCCGTGGATCTTGAGAGCGAACACAATTGCCAATTAATGTTAAGGTATCATCAGCAGTGTTTGCAGTTAGATAACGCCCAATAATCGAAAGACATCGCGTTTGAACACCATGCCATGTGTCAGGCAAATGTTCCTGTGCAATCTTCAATATTAGTGCTCTAAAAATACAAAAATATTTCTTCTCATTAATTTATCAATAAAAAAAGTGTTTTTACTTTATTAATTAAAGCAAATATTTAAATTATAGTAGCAAATATATTGTATATGCATAAAAATGATATCTTAAAGAAAAAGAGGAGATACAATAACATTTAAGATATGTACACACATCTTTGATAATCTCCTAACTTTAACAACGTTGCTAATCCCTGACTTTTCACTCTGTGTGATTCCTCGTTCCTCAAAAGTTCAGCTGTTTCATTCACAATTTTCGCCTTTTCCAAAGTGTTTTGCAGGCGTTACTTCTCCCAATTCAGCGAACACCCAGAAAATCTTGGCTGTAACTGCAATTTCATTTTCAACAACAAATCTCTCCACTAACTTCTTTATAGCAATGAGAACATCCTCTAGCGCTATAGCATTCGAAATACGAACAAGCAATTGCAACGCATCATTTCCACTTTTTTATTTCATTATGAATTTAAGCACTATCTCTTCTCGGATTAATCTATAATTCTGACATGATATTTTGATAGACCTGCAATATATGTGATATAACCTCAATGCATCACAAACCTAAAAAAAAAAATATATATATATTAAGAGACACACCATAGGCAACCTCACATTTGATATGTAGTATTGCCAACTTTAGTAGATGCACAATAAAAAACTAATACACCGAGTGCAATTCGGTGTGTAAATTGGAGTGTAAATCGATTTAAATATTTTCAGTTTAACAAAAATTTAATTTTTTTAAGGTTTAATGAGATAATCAAAGTGATAAGAAAACTATGTAATTAATGCTGCGGTCCACTTGACGCTACAAAACGCTTCGAAGCGTTCTTTGATTAGTTCTTTGATTATAAGAGAGTAGGATGGCTTGTATTTTACTTATTCACTGCTACGTTTACTTTCTACAGTGATTCAAGAAATGGAACACAGCTTTCCATGTCATTCTTTGGGTTACCGAGTCGAGGGCGATTCCGTGATCATTTCGGAGCGAGGAGGAGGTTGATAATTCAAGGAAGAATAATTATTTACCAATTTTTTTTCGAAAATTTTGAAAAAAATTGGTAAATAATTATTCTAAAAATGCGATTGAATACAGCTAATTTTGTTGTAAAACTTTTGCATAAAACATTTTTTTATATCTCAAATAATTTTGTTGTAAAACTTTTGTATAAAACATTTTTTTATATCTCAAATAATTTTCGAGACATAACGGAAAAAGCTGAAAACCACTGTACACGTAAGGGTTGATCTCATCCCTTCAAACCATTTTTTAGCCGCAACTGATATTTTCTAAATTCATCTCTTTATGTAAGCTACAAGTTCACAACGTTTCATTAAAATCAGAATTTGACATCTCGAGAGGTTCCCTTGTTAGTGTGCATACCAGTGTCGCATTAATTTTCTTATTGGAAAATGTTACAAGTTGAATCGAGAATTAATCTACTTTCGATCTACAATACAATTAATCTTTTTCCGATTCTAGAATTGGAATAAGTTGAACCTCTCGGTTAAGAGTTAACTATGAATTGTAGGACTGGACTTAAACAGTATTGATCGATAAATTAATTGAAATCAATTTGGACAGTTTGAATTTGCGTCAAATGGCTCCAGAAAAATCAACAAGAATGACATTTTGACTTGTGTAGTCAATGCACCATCCGTCACCCTGTCGTTGGCAACGGATTTAAAACGGTTCTTAAATATAGTTGTCCACTGTTCCGCCTTGAACCTACATCCAAAGCGGTTGTATAACCTTTTATACAACCTCTTTGCCTACATCAGACTCCTATTCTTCTATAATTCTAGCACTTAATGCCACGTCAGCTAAATTATGCCGTCTCTTTACTAGTTTTAGCCTTGCTTGTAAACGCCGTTTATAATTCATATTTTCGCGACGCTATCTCGCGCCAGCACGCGGCACCGATCCCTCCCCAACTGTTCCGCGTGCGAATTCGTATCGGTTTGTATCGGTTCGTGCAAGGCATTGTCAGGCATTGCGAGGCATTCTTGTACCTGATGTCGGTGAAATAAGAGAGTAGGATGGCTTGTATTTTACTTATTCACTGCTACGTTTACTTTCTACGGTGATTCAAGAAATGGAACACAGCTTTCCATGTCATTCTTCGGGTTACCGAGTCGCGGGCGATTCCGTGATCATCTCGGACAGCGAGGAGGAGGTTGATAATTCAAAGAAGAATAACAAACGAATAATCGTCGACGAATCCGTAGAGATCGATGATGATGCCGATAATTCTATCGAGGATACGACACCGAGGAAGTAAGCATTCTATTGATGAAACCATATATAATGCTATAATATCTTATATACAGGGTGTTTCCAAATTAAATGGCAAAACTTCGGGAGCGTGTAGAGGAGTAAAAAACTAAGAAAAAAAGTCCTATAGACATATGCTCCTTTTTGCTTTGTTTCGCAGGAAATCACGAAAAAAGAAAAAAATATATTTAATTTATTATTTTAATTATTTTATTTATAAACTTTTTAATGAAGATTTTGTTCGAAATGTGCACCTCTTGCAGCAATACAAGCATTGCATCTGTCAAACACGGCTCTTGTAGCAGCCAGGCACTGTTCTTGCGATATTCTGTTCGCTGCAGCTACGATACGATTTCTCAAATGTTGCTCTGATTGAATAGGCGAAGAATAAACTTCTTGCTTCAGAGTACCCCATGCATAGAAATCTAATGGCGTTAAGTCGGGCGAACGAGTTGCCCAATGTACTGCTCCTCCACGTCCAATCCATCGTTGTGGGAATTTTCTATCTAACCAGGTTCTAGCGACTCTGCTGTAATGAGCAGGGCATCCATCTAATTGAAACCACATTTCAGTACGTTGTTGTAATGGGATGTTTTCTAAATAGTCAGAAAATTCATTCTCCAAGAAATTTAGAAAACGGTCCCCATTTAATCTTGCAGATAAAGTAAACATTTTTTTTCGATTTCTCTGAAACGGAGCAAAAACGAGCATATGTCTATAGGACTTTTTTTCTTAGTTTTTTACTCCTCTACACGCTCCCGAAGTTTTGCGATTTAATTTGGAAACACCCTGTATACTGCCGAAAAATTATAATTTTTTTTCTCTGCAGTTATGATCTCTATTGATTGTTAAACTCGGATGATGACATTAAAATCACAGTTTTGAATAAAAATCTAGTATTATTAATAAGTTTTAAACATATCTACGAAATTAATAAATCATAAAATTAGTACCGTATTGTCAGTTTAATCACTTAAATATTACAGTCACGCAAACTTCCATAAAAATCGGCCGTCTTTAATAGTATCTTGTCGATATCAACTATCAAGGATAAATTAATCCTTGATGTCGAGCTACGTGAAGATAATCCATGTTTGTTTGATAACAAAAGAGTCACCTTACGATCGGCAGTTGCCTTGTTTGTTGTGATATATTGTTGTAATAGCATTGTTCGTTTTGTCTCTCGGGAGCTGCTCGGGGTCGCTCCGAACGAATCCAGCGTACTTGAAATGTAGGATTCATACTGCGTACGACATCCGTTATACCACGTCCGATATTTATTGTAACATGAATATATATTCGACTATAATTGGTCAATTTCTTACGGCTTAAGTCTTAAAACACCTATTGTAGATCCGGACTTACAGTCGAATACGAGGAGAATAATTAACTATTTCGTCCGTTTCTTATGGCTTAAGGCTTAAAACATCTATTGTAGATCCGGGGTTACGCCTTAAAATTTCATTGTAGACGCCGCTTTAAGGGCTCGGTGAGCCCTTGTATTTGAATATTCCGTTAGATTTGAAAATATAGACCAAACAAGTACAAAAACTCGCTGATTGTGAATGCTCAGTAAGGTCGGAAATCAGATTACGCATTGAGGATTGAGATTGAAGATTGAAAAATGCAAATTTGACCAATCGAAACGAAAGGAGCTAAAATTTCTTTGTCCTCACTGGTCAAATTTCAATCTTCAATGCGTAGTCTGATTCCGGCCTAAGCGGTGTAGTAAATGCACTTAGTTGGCTACATCTGGTGTACCTACCATCCGCGCCATTCATTAAAAACCGAAAGAAATGTTTTTTATAAAAATTTCCCAAAACATTACATATGGTAATTGTACATGTAATTATTATGTGTGATTGGGCCTGGGTTACGCCAATAACAATTTCTTCATAGTTTCTTTTTTCATTACTTTCAAGATCATTTTAAAGTCAGTGAATGGCATTTTCAGAGAAAATGTTTGTGGTAAAAGTTTCTTATTTTTTTGCATGTAATCCGAATCTGCAATAAAAAGTACATATTATTGTACATTTAAAAAAATTTAACATTCTATCTGGTTAATCTATGTTCGGTTGGAACCGGAAGTTTAAAATATCATCATTTGATAGAATGTATCCGTATTACTTATCAAAATTTTTTTATAAATAAAAACAAAATAAATTTATCTTTCTCTTTTTACTTACTTTTGTCATATATAGGGTGTAATTAAAATAAAGAAACAAACTTCGAGCATCCCACACTAAACATGAAAAAGGTTCATATAAATATATATTCGCAAACCTCATTTGATTCAATACACGCATGGGCCATTGACTGTCAAATCATGGACTATCGTACTTTCAAAAACCCCAAGGCGGTTGCGAATAGTTTCACGGACATCAAAGATGCGTTGGAGTAGCATATCTTCGATATTAATCTGAATAAATTAAAAGAATTTTAAGATCGAGAGATCGAGATCGAGATCGAGAGATCGTGTCGGAGCTTATTAATAATCTCAATAACAGTGGATTTGCTACGTTTATATAAATTTTTTTTTTACATTTGAGAAGCTCGTCCTCAAAGTTTATCTTTTAGTTACATTCTGTACATCGTATTTATTATAACTGAAATAAATTATTAAAATATAAATTAATGGATATAAACATTTTCTTACAAATATTTATGTATAGGAATAAAGACAGTGAAGATGACAGTACATCTGTTGTCTGTTCGATCAGAAACATAAATAAACAGACGAGAAGATGTGTACTGAATTCTGATGACAGTGATTATGAACAGATAGATGATCATGACGATAATAAAGCATATCATACGATTAATGATTTTAACAATTCTGATTCTGGTAAAGATTAGTAAATAAAAATTGGTATACGTAACACTTTTTTGTAATATTTTTTATGTAATATGTAATTGTATTTTTGTATAAATGTATTTTTTATGTAAGATTTTGTATGTAATATTATATATAGGTTTGTTCTTTTTGGCTGAACTTTTGCAACAGTTCATCTTTCTTCTTCTTCTTTCCTTCTAGAGAGAAAAGAAAGAAAGATAAACCGGTGCGAAAGTTCAGCTAAAAAGAACAGATCTTATGATTTTGTATGTATCATGTCTGATAAAATAAAACTTTTGCTTCATTATATGCAGGGTGACCCATTTTAATCACCCCAAATATTTCCAATCCAAAGTCAAACCAATGGTACCATTTTATGGCCCCCTTGAAACCATACAACTGAAACATTTTCTTGTAAAATGCAAGGGAACGGAAATATTTGGGGTGACAGATTAAAATGGATCACCCTGTATATGTGTATATATAATTTTATATAGATATTTTATACAGTGTCCCGCGTAAAGATCATAACAACACTTAAGGATTCTGAGATTATTTTAAGATTAAAATTCTAATACTAAAGTGTCGCGAGGCTATAACAGTTTTTTAATCATAAACATTAAAAGTTAGCTAATTATATCGCCTAAAATTTGCGCGTTCAGACGTGATACAAAAGTGCTGAAAACGAAAGGCCAATTGTCGCCTCGTGTTAATGTTGATACAAAGATTATATGCATACGAAGATAAAATTATTGATATATTAAAAAATTATTATAGCTTCGACATTTTGGTATTAAAATTTTTTCCTCAAAGTGATCAAAGAAGTCTCCCCTTAAGCGTTGTTATGGTTTTTACGAGATATCTTGTATAGATTCTTTTGTTTTCTATTATTTTACACAAAGTTCTGTTATTTTACATAGATTCTTCTCTTTCATGTTCACGGATTAAAAATAAGAGTAAAAAAAAAAAAGATGTTACTCATGATGATACCAGAGAAGATATAAACCAGAAAAGATATGGTCAGTATTATTTTGTTTGTATGGTTCATCAAGGTCGCTAAATTCATGTTATTTAGATGATATTCATATTATTTAGAGATATTCATATTATTATATTCATATTATATTATATTATATATTATATTATTATATATTATATTATATTATATATTATATTCATATTATTTAATTAATATTATTTAGAGATATTTACTGACCCTAAAGTAGCAGACGAAAACAAAGAAATTGATATACCTGTCACTATTGAGCTTGATTCAGGTATTTTTATTTATAACATCAAACGTATAGATTTTAATCTTGCATAAGTAAATCTTTTTGGTAATTATTTAGAATAGGACTTTTTTCGAATTTCGACATTTTTCGGCTGCAATGTTGATAATCTTTGTTATGATTCAAATAGTGATAATAAGTCGGGGAGGTCGAAAAAATATATAGTCTACCTATTCTTTAAATTATTTATTCTATCTTATCTTCCCGCATAGGGGCGCACGACTTTCATGTGAAGTCGCTTCGCGTGGAAGTCATGCGCCCCTAAGCAGGGGGGGAGGTGGGATGGAAATCGCTTCGCGTTGAAAGTCGTGCGCTCCTATGCTATTATATGTAACACTTTCAAAGAAAATTTTTTTTTATTTTTCGACCTCCCAACTTATTGTCACTATTTGAGTCATAATAAAGATAGATTATTATCAACATTGCAACCGAAAAATGTCAAAATTCGAAAAAGGTCCTATTCTAAATAATTGCTGTATTTTTATACACGGTATAATAATATTATCTATATTCCCCACACAAAGTCTAAATTTTCAAAACAACATTTAAAGATATCTTTAAGATATCTTATGTTTCAATTATGGACTTTTATATGTCTGAGAATTTTATATTATCTACAGATTCTGCTTCTGGACAAAACGACAATGAATTTGCAGTATCTTTTGCAAAAGAAGAAATTGGTGTTGGAAATGTGGATCCATTAATAGCGCAGAAAAGAGCACTTACGGTTTGCAAATTAGAGCAGCTTAAAAACGAGTCAGCCCAGATGAAGGTAATATATGAGATATGTATGATCTGATAATAAAGTTCCCGGATCACAGCAATAAAAAATAGATATCTCACACACATAATAAAAAATATTATATTTTATCTTTGAAAGTAGTTCTTTATGACATTAATACATTTGACATTTTTGGATATAAAGTCTCAAAACTTTTTTTTAAATCCGTAGTTTGGATGATGTTCAGAGCACTTGTCATATTCTTCTGAATGTTCTTGACGTATTAAAAATGTTTATCTTTCATGATGTTTTTGAACTTTCGGAACAGCACGGAATCCGAAAAAGATCTAGCGAGTAAGATGAACGACTAATTTCAACTCTTTTCACTTCATCGTGAAGCAGTTTCTGGCCAAAAAAAAGGTTGTTGAGATTAATTATGTATTCGCTGGATCTGATTTTCGGATTTTATGTTTTCCTGAATTTAAAACATGATATATAGAAGGTAAATACTTTCAAGTAAAGGACATTTAAAGAAATATGATAACTGCTCTGAACAATATTTCAACTTTAGACTTTAAAAAAAGTTTTTAGGCTTTGTATCGAAGATGTGTGAGTGTATTAATGTCACGGAGGATTATTTTGGAAGACATATATATATATATATCATTTTATTATTTGACATGTTCGTGTTTTTTTAATGTGATAATGAATAATACATTTAATTAAGGTAGTTCCATACGGCCAATGTACGTCACATTAGCAAATGTTAACACACATCCGCACGCGTGCGCGCGCACACAGCACACGCAAAATTATCTGTCTATATGAATGTAGGCCAATATTTAGCGCAAAGTTGATATATATTTGTCATGTTGTCTGAAATTGCGTGTATTTATTATCGTAATAAATAGTGTAGATAATTTTGATAATGCATATATCACATAAAACCTTATATTTCTAGCAACTACTCGCTGAAGGAAATATCGACATATTTCCTGATGAAGGACAGAAATTACAAGAATGCATACATCAGCTAGACGAAGAAATAAAAAGCTTGACACGTGAATTGGAAAGTACTCCTTTGATGCCACTTTTCAATAGTCGAGACATCGTAGAAAAATCACATTTCATGAAAGAATCACAGTTTTCTGAAGATGAGCTAGACTCAAAGTACACCGATTATTCATGTTTGGATATTGACAATATACCAATGAAACCTACCACATCTCCTGAATTAAAGGAACTTGGTTTAAAAGCACAAGCAATAAGAGATAAGGAGCTCGCTTTAACGGTTGAACGATTACAAGATTTGCACGGATCCCTAGTAGCTCGGCCATCAGAGAAAGAAAAAGTAGAAGACCCAAAGGGGTTGAAGGTACAGTTAATGCCGCATCAACAGCATGCTCTTGCATGGCTTCTGTGGAGAGAACAGCAAAGACCATCCGGTGGCATTTTAGGTAAATATTAAAAAAATAATTTATAATACTAATTATATATTAAAACATATATTAAATTGTATTTTTGAATAATTTTGTGTTATTATTGAAAATGAATTTTTTTATAGCTGATGATATGGGCTTGGGCAAAACACTAACTATGATAGCTTTGATTTTGACCACTCTTGCTAAAGATTCTGATGAAAGTGGTGATGATGATGATGATAATGATGCCATACGGACTAGCAAGAATAGATCTTCACGTATGTAAAAGTTTTATAGAATTTTATAGAATTTATAATAGAAACAAGTTCTTGCTTTTCTATAATTTTTAAAATATTTGCTTTCTTAACTTTAATTCACTTAAATTGTGATATTATATTCAGCATAAATTAAGACAATTTTGATATGAATGTACTTAACATAATAAATCTATTAAGAATACATGTGATTACGACAGATCATAAAGGTGGTACTCTAGTAGTATGTCCTGCGTCTTTATTGTCACAATGGGAAAATGAAGTACGGAATAGATGCAAACGTGGTTTATTATCTGTTGAAGTACATCACGGCAGTAATCGACAGAGCGATCCTAAAAAATTGGCGAAAAATGATATAGTCATCACGACATATAATATATTATCTCGAGAACATAAAACCAATTCTACATTATATAAGGTATACAATCAAAGCTTACAAATATTATTTGACCAATGAGTAGACAAGTAGAAATTTAATCTTATTAATACGTATATAATATAGATCTGAGTTTTTAATTTAATTGCAAATTGAAATTTTATTACAGATCAATTGGAAAAGGGTTATACTCGATGAAGCGCATATAGTAAGAAATCACAAAAGTCAAGCATCTGAAGCGGTATGTGAACTTGTAGCGAGTAGACGATGGGCTCTCACCGGCACACCTATACAGAATAAGGAGTTAGATTTATATTCCATAGTGAAGTTTCTTAAATGCTCACCTTTTGATGATTTACACGTTTGGAAGCGATGGGTAGATAATAAGAACGCTGCGGGCCATCAAAGATTGGCAACGGTAATGAAGACAATAATGTTACGCAGAACTAAACAAGAATTGATGTCGAAGGGGGAATTGGAAAGTTTACCCGATAAATCCATCGAGGAAGTGATAGTCCAACTCGATGAACAGGAACAGTTGGTTTATGAAAAAGTTTTAGCGTATTCCCGTACTCTGTTTGCACAATTTTTAGTTCAACGTGCAGAGAAAGAACACATGTTAGATTTGTACAGTGGGAAATACAATAAACCTTCTTTTCTCTCAAACCCAAGTAAGATTTCATTTAAAATAATATGCTATATCTTGCGTACTTCTAATCATCGAAATGTATTAATATTTATTTTAATGCGCAATTATCCGTTTTCTTTTTTTAAGACAAGGAAACTCAGTTCACGAAAGCACAACAAAAATTATTGGCGTCGCACGCCGACGTCAAAACACATGAAATTTTAATGCTTCTATTACGACTGCGACAAATATGTTGTCATCCAGCATTGATCCACGCAATGCTGGATCATGAAGACTTACAGCAATGCAATGTAATAGATGTAGAAAACGTGGATTTCAATTTATTATCTCGCATGCATAATATGTCGCTTGAAGTCGATAATGAAGAGAAGAACGCTGATGTTGATGGAAGAATAATGGGAAATTTACTCACCGTTGAAAATCCGGTGTTTAAACATGATCGTATTAGTTCCAAGGTGAGTGATAATTATATAATCTGAACAAACTGTACTATTTCATTTGGTTATAATTCAATATAAAATGATTCAGATGAAGATGCTACTTGACTTGGTTAACAAAATTTTGCGAAAAAGTGACGATAAACTTATTATCGTTTCGCAATGGACAATGTTGTTGGAAATTATAGCATCACATTTGCCTTCAATAAAAGAGGCTACTTTTAGCAAGTTTACAGGAAATGTTCCTATTAAAAATCGACAGGTATGTGGATTATCAATATCAATATTACCTGTGTACGTTCATATTTTGTTATTAATATTTTGTTACATTTCACAAAAAGTTAAATATTTTGTTGAAAAAAAATTGTAGAGAAATTTTTGACCACGCATTTTAAAGCGCAAAAATAGGGCTTGAAATCTGCACTTAAATTTTTTTTCTACAGTATTAAATTATATAAAATTGAAAATTGATATTGTAATATTTTTATTTCTCTCTAAAGCGTTGCAGTTTGATGAAACATAGGGAAAAATTTAGTATAAAAGTATTTTAAAGTAGGCTTTCTAAGCTTTAAAATGCTTTTGTATTAAATTTTGTTCGATGATGTTTCATCAAACTGCAGCGCTTCAATATAAGACAAAGATATTGCAAAATGTATCGATTTTCAATTTTATGTAATTTAAAAACAAAATGTCGTAGAAAACAAATTCAAACACAGATTTAAAGCACTTTACGTTTTAAAATGCGTGGTCGTAAATTTTTATACGATTATTTTTTACCACGATATTTAACTTTTCATGAAATGCGACAAAAATATTAGTTTATACACAACAATTTACAAACGCGACTGTATATTTTTATTATATTCTACTCCATTAAAAAATTAATACTTATGTATTTTTCTCTCAGGGTATAATGGAATCTTTTAATAGTCGAAATTCTGGTCCGAGAATTCTGTTACTGTCACTTACTGCTGGCGGAGTGGGATTAAACTTGGTAGGCGGCAATCATTTGTTGTTATTCGACGTTCATTGGAATCCACAGTTGGAAACACAAGCGCAAGACAGGATTTATCGTTTTGGTCAAACAAAGAATGTTTACATCTACAAGTTTGTATATCGTGTTTGATTTCTACGTATGTTCTTTGCAAAGTTCATTTTAATATCTTTGTTTCCATTTTTAGATTTATCTGTGTTAATACAATAGAAGAGCGTATTAAAGCGTTGCAAGAACGAAAACTTCAGATAGCAAAAAATGTACTGAGTGGTGATACAAGCAACGCGGTTGGAAAACTTACGCTGAACGATCTCAAATCTTTATTCGGCTTCTAATCCATTTTGTCTTATAATAAATATAACAACAGTAAATATATTGTATTTAATATAGAAAATATTATATATATATGTATATGTATATAAATAGAATAACATTTTTATATACATATACAACATATTTATATATATAACATTTTTATATACATAACTTTTTTATACATATACATATATATAATATTTCCTATATTAAATACAATATATTTAAATAGTTTTGATAATAATACACATTTTAATATATGAAATAGTTGCATTACATTATGAATTCTCTATGGACAATTTATTATTTTCTTTCTATTAATTTTATTTATCTAAACTATTATCTATGCTTTGATTGTTTTAACTGTTGACATGATTATATTTTATTTGTTTTAAGTTCTCTTATATTAATACAGTTAATACGTATCAATTCATATTTTTTTATTTGTAAAATAGAATGCGACATTTATTTTAAAATCACACTGGGCCATAGAGGATACTTTTTCAAGCATAATGAATATGAAATATGTTAAATATATTATTTTAAAAATTTTAATAGCATTGTTCAAGTCAATAAATCAAAGTATAATGCAATATAATAGTTTTTACTTTATCACATGACACTCTCCTATTTACTTTATCACATTTATTACCAGTTAATTTTGGTGGTACTTAGAAAGGATAGCGATTAAAAACACTACTATTACTATTTAAATTAAGCCCGATTATGTACATACATAATGCGCTATTAATATCGATATTAATGGGCGAGTTTGGATGGCTGTGTTCGGATTCCCACCCCGGTGCTCCACGGATGCAATGTCATCCTTATTTAATGTTCGGTAAATAATAGGATGGAGTGGATATCTGGATGACATTCGGGTGGGAATCTGAACATAGCTCAAGGGAAAGTTACTTTTAAAAGTAAGTTACAGTTACAGTTTTTTTAAAAATAAATTACCGATTTTATTTTGATTATTCTATTATTAATTTTATTTTTATAACTTTGTCGGTTTTACAAATGATTATTTTATTTTTTTAAGATCTTAATCTTTTTGAGACCATCTAACGATCGGTGCCAATTGATATGGGGAAATAAATTTTTGGTGTATTTGGAGATTGATCACTGGAGTCTATACAAGGCTTAAATTGTTATACGAAGAATGTAAATTATGACTTTAAGTTTACTACGCTGAAGAGAGCTAAAAATTAGTCGAAATGTTTGTCTTATTGTGAATATTACATTTTTTTAATCGTTAATTTCTGTAATAATTTTATGCGCATCACCCATTTACAATGTCAGTTCCTAATAGCCTGTTGCTCCTCTTTTTGTTTTTGATTAGTGTATTATGATGTTTTTTGTATAACAATTACTTTTTTCCTTTTATAGATCAAAAATCCTTTTCCTAGAAAAAGATACACTTTAAAATATACACATTAATACGTGTCTGTGTGTCTGTGAGGTGGAGTTTATTCCGAGAACATAAAAAAATTCAAAATTGAGTTAAAAAATGAGACCTTCCTTACCCTTTCTTAGTTCAACACTTAGAGCTGTCATCATGACATTTGGTTCATATAAAAGTGTAATTCCAATGGAATTCTAATTTCTAGAAGAAGAAAAAGATGAAGAGTTAGTTGGACCAAGATTAAAGTTAATCTACGTTGATAGAAACGGACGTGTAATTAAAATGTTATTGTTATACGAATATTTATGCCTTGGTGAAAAAGTTTCGCTGAAAATATTCTACGTTTTGAAACATTTTAGTGAAATTTCTGAAAATTTGCTGAAACTTCACTGAAAGTGAATTTTTCAGCTAACATACTGAAAAATCACTGAAATCTAACTGAAATTTCTCGGAAATTCTTGCAGAAATTTGTCTGAAAATTTTGCTGAAATTTTTCTGAAATTTTGTCGAAAATGAATTTTTCAGCTAAAATTCGTTAAAATTAAACTGAAATTTTTATGAAATACTGAAATTTTGTTGAAAAGTGTTCCAAAACGTGGAATAATTTCAACAACATTTTTCCACTAGGATGTGTATGTGTGCGTGAGACATGAGATGTAGTAGTATGTAGTGATATGTCAATGGACACGTAAATCGTGTGAGCCCTACTTACACTATGACTAATCATCTTTAGGGTTCCCTTAATTAACGATGAAACATCAAATATTTCGACAGCGCAGATAATAATAGAATGTGTGTTACTTTTCGATGTGCTCAACTTCTTTTTTCGTACTCGATCGTTTTTAAAGTTCTTAAGTATTATAATTATATTGAAATTCCAATGGAATGGAATAAAAAGTTTTAAAAGTAATATTATAATTAAAGTTAATCAGTAAAAATCTATTTCATTTACAAAAATCAAAATAAAAATTTTAAAAAGTATTATCCTTAAATCAAGTCTCCTAAAATGAGGGACACTTCATATTTTGATTGCTTCATATTATGTGACTGCTTTCTTGAAATTACTCTGTATAAATTATTATTTTTTAACTTGATGCTTGCAGTTAAATAGACCATAAAAATATTTATGATAAATCATTCGTTTTTCTTTTTATTTTTTGAGAAATTCAAAAAGGACTAAGTTTCTTAATATTGACGTTGTTAAACAATATTTTTTGTTATTAATAATATTAATTTAAAGGATATAATTAAAGGATATTATTATATGATATATTATTATAAGATTAATTTTATTTTAAAACAAAAGACAAGAAAGTTATTTTAAAGTTATAACATTTACAAAAATACATGAATGTGTTTACTTAATTGTACGGGCATATAAACAAATATGATGTTATAAAGTATGTAATGCTTCACAATTATTTAAGAGGGAGTATAATATTCTTTGGTACGGTAACATTTATCAATTGATCAAATAGTGGCATTTCATTCGAAGTATTAACAAGACGCATATGTTTAAAAAGTAATAAATTTATAACATCTGAAGGTATCTCAGCTGTTGAAAACATGTTACAATATGGTGTTATATTACACGAATTTTCACTTTGTAATACAACAACACAATTGCCAATAAATAGAGATACTGTCAGATAACTGAACAATTTATTTTCATCAATATGATTGAGAAGAATTACACCTCTTGGTGCACGAATGGCGGTTTATTCCAATCTTTCATTTTGACAAGTTAATGTATTTTTATATACCTTATTTAATAATTTTATACATTTTGACACTGTCTTTGCTAATAGATATTTGCTAAAGCAAAAAAGAAACTTTTGTTAAAAATGTTATTAAGAGTACACGAAGACATATAAGTATACAAAAAATCTATAGAAATATATGTGTATAAACATTTTTTAGTAAATTAAAATATATATCCATTGTGTTCTAATGTATAAGGGATAGTGGTCTAAATCGGACCGTGTTCTAAATAGGACCTTTTTAATTTAAATGAATACGGTTAAGCAGATATGCGTACTATTTACAACGTAAAGTCTTTATAAGACACCGAACATGTGATAGCAGTTTGACAGTTCTCTGTCATAATATTCATAAAATAAAGGCAAATATTTTCAGCCATCGTGCGAAAATTTTTTTAAAAAGGAAAATTCTTGTAAATCATTATTTAAAAGGTATTAAAAATTTGAAAAGTAATTGATTTAAGATAATTAAAGAGTGTAGAATTAAAAAATATCAAGCATTTCATGATCACTTTTGCGGTTTATTGTAAAATTTGTTCCAAAGTTCGAAAGGACCCGTATCCAAATCGAACAGTAAGTGAATAACTTATAGGCCTGGTTGTAGTACTGGTGATCGACTGACTAGATCTGGTCCAAGCAATTAAATCAGTAAAATATCATGAGTCATCAGACTCAGATATTAGTTGAGTTTTATTGATTTCAATTCTTATAATATAAACAGTCAGTATTTTTTTTTTCCGAAAAAAATGTTTATCTTTGACTGTCAAATTGTTCGTTTTTACTCAATACTAAGAAAAATATATTAAAATATTTT